GGTATCTCTGTGTGGTTTTGATTTGTATTTCCCTGATGAGGAGGGATGCTGAGCATCGTTTCATGTGTCTCTTGGCCATCTGGATGTCCTCTTTGGAGAAGCGTCTGTTCATATCTTCTGCCCATTTCTTCACTGGATTGTTTTCGGGTGTGGAGTTTGGTGAGTTCCTTACAGATTTTGGATACTAGCCCTTTATCTGATATGTCATTTGCAACTATCTTTTCCCATTCCATCGGTTGCCTACTAGCTTTATGGATTGTTTCTTTTGCTGTGCAGAAGCTTTTAATCTTGATGAGGTCCCAATAGTTCATTTTTGCTCTTGATTCCCTTGCCTTTGGGGATGTGTCAAGTAAGATTTTGCTGTGGTGGAGGTCAAGGAGGTTGTTTCCTGCTTTCTCCTCTAGGGTTTTGATGGTTTCCTGTCTCACGTTCAGGTCCTTTATCCATTTTGAGTTTATTTTTGTGTATGGTGTGAGAAAATGATCTAGTTTCATTCTTCTGCATGTTGCTGTCCAGTTCTCCAAGCACCATCTGTTAAAGAGACTGTCTTTTTTCCATTGGATACTCTTTCCTGCTTTGTCGAAGATTAGTTGGCTGTACATTCTGGGGTCCAATTCTGAGTTCTCTATTCTATTCCATTGGTCTGTGTGTCTGTTTTTGTGCCATACCATATTGTCTTGATGATGACAGCTTTGTAGTAGAGGCTAAAGGCTGGGATGGTGATGCCTCCCGTTTTGGTTTTCTTCTTCAATATTACTTTGGCTATGCGGGGTCTTTTGTGGTTCCATGCAAATTTTAGGATAGTTTGTTCTAGTTTTGAGAAGAATGCTCGTACAATTTTGATTGGGACTGCGTTGAATGTGTAGATTGCTTTGGGTAGTAATAACATTTTAACTATATTTATTTTTCTGATCCATGAGCATGGAATGTTTTTCCGTTTCTTTGTGCCTTCTTCAGTTTCCTTCATAAGTTTTCTATAGTTTTCATCATACGGATCTCTTATATCTTTGGTTTGGTTTATTCCTAGGTATTTTATGGTTTTTGTGTAATTGTGAATGGGATCAGTTTCTTGATTTCTTTTTCTGTTGCTTCATTGTTGGTGTATAAAAATGCAACCGATTTCTGTACATTGACTTTGTATCCTGCAACTTTGCTGAATTCATGAATCAACTCTAGTAGACTTCTGATGGAGTCTGTCGGGTTTTCTATGTAGAGTATCATGTCATCTGCGAAAAGTGAAAGTTTGACTTCTTCTTTGCCAATTCTGATGCCTTTTATTTCCTTTTGTTGTCTGATGGCTGATGCTAGGGCTTCCAGCACTATGTTAAACAACAGTGGTGAGGGTGGACATCCCTGTCGTGTTCCCGATCTCAGGGGGGGAAAGCTCTCAGTTTTTCCCCATTGAGGATGATGTTAGCTGAGGGCTTCTCATAGATGGCTTTTATCATGTTTAAGTAAGTTCCTTCCATCTCGACTTTCTCGAGGGTCTTTATTAAGAAGGATGCTGTATTTTGTCAAATGCTTTTTCTGCATCTGTTGACAGGATCATATGGTTTTTATCTTTTCTTTTGTTAATGTGCTGTATCTTTGGAGCACTTCCTACATTCTTGGCCCAGGTGTGTCCCCTTTAAGACACACCTGGGCTCCCCAACGGGCTGCAGGCTGAGAAGGGAATTCTGGGTGGACAGTGGCCCTCGGTCACTGGACCAAGTTCTGGGCTCGGCTTTGTTCTCTGGAGTCAGTCCCTTCCCTCTCCAGGCCACGGGGATTCCCCCCAGCTGACCTCTGGGGTCCCTTTTTGACCTGATCTGTGCCTTTGTGGCCTAGAGGAGTATATGAGGGAGCCCTCACATCACCTGCCCTTCTCAGGCCTGCCCTGGAGCTGGGAGAGAGGCCTCCCCCTCCCCTCCCCCCTTCCCACCCCAGGAGCCAGCACCTCAAGGTTAACACCCCCCCCTTGACTGAAGCTTTCACTCTCACCCAAACCCCCTCCAGTTTTTCCAAGTCATTCGAAAAACCGTGATGCCTAGTCTGCTGATGACCTTGGTGGGCATCAGGGAGGGATCCTTGACCTTCCAGGAGGTGTCCCTGGGAGGATGTATGGTTCCCCGGGGAGGGGAACGAGGTGGCGAGGTGAGCTCCAAGAGCGAAGTGAAAGAACAGGGGACTGTCATTTATAATAATAACAGCGCTAGCACTTCATAAGGTGCATTCATGACTCTAAAGCATTTTCAACCTGATTGAGTGCCAGCATTCCATTCGCTTTGATACTTTTTTTGTAAATGAAAAGTATCAGCTGATGTGATGGCCAGTGTTAGCTCCAGGAAGACCTCAAAACAGAATCTGGGTAAAGGTGATTTTTTTAAAAAATTCTGGTCACTACCTGTTTATTTCTTTTGCTCATTTTTCTTTTTTGTTTTTTAATAGTTTATTGTCAAGTTGGTTTCCATATAACTCCCAGTGCTCATCCCCACAAGTGCCCTCCTCCATGCCCATCACCCCCCTTCCCCTCCCCCCTCCCCCAATCAGCCCTCAGTTTGTTCTCGGCATTCAAGAATCTCTCATGGTTTGCCTCCCTCCCTCTCCCCCACTATTTTTCCCCTTCTCTTCCCCCATGCTCCTCTGTTAAGAGGACAGATACCATATGTTTGCACATATAGGAGGATTAGGAGGACCTTAACGGAGGGCCATGCAGGTAAAGGTGATTTTTGACAAAGCCACCATAGCAATTCAGTGCATGAAGGAAAGACTCTCAATCCAGGTGCTAGGAAAACTGGCCATCCGAAGGGACAGAAGTGAGCCTTGACCACTACCTCACACTGCACATAAAAATTTATTTGAAACGGATCATAGGCCTAAATGTAGAGGCTAAGACTATATGCTGGCTAAGGAGGGGAGGCCCAGGGGCGGGCCCAGAGCAGGGGGCCTGAGGCCTGGGACGGGCGGTGGGCATCAGGGTGGAGTGGGGTCAAGGGAAGGGCAGACACATGGCCAATGACAGAGGCCACCTGTGGCTCCCGGGGCTCTGACTGACGGGTGCCCGCGCATCCAGACCCGCCTTGGGAAAAGAATTAATGGCAGATAGCAGAGCCATGTGATGTCTACCAAGGTCCCTCTCGTTTTAGAATCCAAAGACAGGTGTAAGTCGGCACACAGCACAGTGCACGTCCGTCTCACAGCAACTTCCACGTCTTCTAGAAAATGTGTGCTCCAGTGGCCTCTGCTTGTCTGCTGACGGCCGCCCCCGTTCACTTGGCCGACCAAGCCCTGGCAGAATACTTGCGTCCCTTCTGCTTTCCCAGACTCTGGGATCATTTGGTGGAAACAGTCAGTTTGAGTTATAAAAAGTTGCCAAGGTCTGTCCCCTCTCAGCCGGGGGGGGCTGGCTTCCAGCTGGTGGGGCGCTGTCCTGTCTGGGAAGCACATGGGCCATGGTGGTCAGGCCAGAGCTTTGGCTTGGAGCAGAGCACTCAGAGCGGCTCTCACGCCAGGAACTGTTGGTTTTTTGTTTTTTTTTCCCCCAAGATTTCACGAAGATGTGTCAAATTGAGAGGAGGGAGGGAGAAGGGAGATGGGCACACATGGGAGTGCCAGCACAGGCCTGCTGAGCACAGCAATAGGGCGGTGGGGGCCTGGTCCTACCGTTGAGGGTCACAGGTGGTGAGGAAGACGAGGAGGATCCTGTCCACAGGTGTCCATAGAGTCTCAGGTCCGGGCAGTCACCAGGTTAGATTGTGTTAGGGGTCTCGGCACCTCTAATGCTCACTACTGCTCATCAGTACATTATGCCCATTGTACAGATGGGGAAACTGAGACTCAGAGATGCAGAGGGCATTTCCAGTGTTGCCTAGGTCTGCCTGACTCCCAAGTACAGGCCTTTCCCCCAAGACACTCCCCTCTGTAGCAAGGCCAGGGCCCTGCTAATGAGGACCTGCCGTGAGCCAGCATGGGGCAGGCACTGGGCTAGACTGGCCCTCATTGGTTCTGCCTCCCCCTCTTTCTCTCTTTGGACAGCAACTAAACCATCCCAACATCATCAAGTATCTGGACTCGTTTATTGAGGACAACGAGCTGAACATTGTGTTGGAGCTGGCCGATGCCGGTGACCTTTCGCAGATGATCAAGGTGAGTGAGCCTGGCAGGCAGGCTGGCTCCGGGGGCCGGACGGACACAGGGAGCCCCGGATCTAGCGGCCCCTCAGCCTGGAGTCTCTGCTGCTGTGGCATCGGGTGGAGGCTGTCCACCAGGGCCACTCAGCCTCCCTTGCCATGCCCCATAGGCCTCAGCCGTGGCCCGGAGGGTGCCCACATGGGCTCTATCCCCATTTTCTAGGATGGGGGAGAGGGTCAACCATGGACAAAAAGCACGCCTCTGACTGCCCCCACTGCCCCAGCCTGCCCATAGGTGGCCTCATGGAAGGGACAGGGACAGAACCCCGTGTTAGGTCAGACCCCAGCTCACAGAATCTGGGAAAATGTGTTGTGTGTCCCAACTTTCCAACAGGAAAACCGAGCCCAGAAAGGCTAAGAGACTTAGCCAAGGACACGCAGTAACGCAGGTGATAGCACCATGCCTGTGTGGTGCTGCTCTCTGTTTCCTAGCCTGGGGCCCTTCACACATCAGCACCCAGATGATCTCCGAGGGGCCCCTCCAGCGCTGGAGGGACACCTTCACTCCCGTGCAGTGGCTGAGGCCGGGGCTCTCTGACAGGTTGAGTGACTTGCCAGGTCTGGCTCTTGCTCTGCGTCCCGTGGCAGCCCCCACACTGCTCTGCCCCACCCCTGCCCCTCCTCCTGAGGCCCAAGATCAGGCCCACCGAGAGCCTGGCTCAGGAGCCATTGCAACTCCATCGCTGCAGCACCTACTGTAAGCCACAACCACACTGAGCACACATATCACTAGGTGCACACTGTCCTCAGAGAGTAGAGCTCAGAGAGGTTTAGTCGCCTGCCTGAGGCTACACAGCCTCTCAGTGGGACCCCTGAGCCCAAGCCCTCAGCCCCGCTCCCTGCTCCTCGAGGCCCTCACTCCCCTGCTGGTTTGACCAGTCTGCAGACTGTCCGCCTTGGGCCCCCACCGCCTCCTTCCTCAAGCCCAGTCCGGCTGCTTCTGAGTGAGGCCAGCGACACCAGAGCCCCCACCTTGTTCCCAGCAACACTTGCAGACAGGGCCAGACATGGATTCCCTGCCTTTCCCACCAGGCGCTAGGGATTGAGCAATTGCTCAGTGCTTGCTCTTCTGAAATCTGGCTCCTAGGAATTCGGGTGTCGTTGGGAAGCGGCATTACTTGAGCTGTTATCACCTGCTTTTATATTTTCGTTGACATATTAATGTGTTTGCAGGGATGTTAATCTCCACACAGATCCCTGGTGGGAACAGATGTGCTCTATCATGTCTTGGTTCTTCCTTCTCTCCCCCACCCCCACCCACCCAGTGTTTCTCCTTCACGTGTCATTCTCTTGCTGAACACGCACGCATCCAGCACCCACTGTGTGCCAAGACCTAGGTGTGGGTGCTGCCCTCAGGGAGCTTGCTTTCTAATAGGAGGGCAGACCCATAAACCGTCACAAGTCCATGTGAGCAAGCCAAGTTCAGGACCTGGGGAAGCCAGGGAAGTCTTCCCGGAGGAGATGACCTGATACGGGGGTCTGGTGGCAGAACAGCTTGCAAGAGCCCAGTGGGATGAGCAGTCCAGGGTCCACAAAGCACTGGGTGAGGTGGAGGCAGGGGGTGTAGGAGGAGGTGAGGCAGTCAGGTCACCCAGGGCCTCACTGTCTGGGCCCAGGATTCGCGGCCTTGCCCCAAGGTCAGCCAAGGAGCTTCCCAGGACTCATGGTGGGGAGTAGACATGATCCGCATGGTGTTCTGGAAGAAAGACTAGATGCCCAGAAGGTGGGGTGGGGGGTGGGAGTGGAGTCAGTGGACAGGAGCGGAGGGGAGACAGAGGAAGGGCCTGTGGCCAGGGTGCTGCACCCTGAAGCCCCTGCAGACCCCGGGCTCCTTGCAGTCTCTCAGTCTGCAGAGCGGGGCTGGAGTCAAACGGGGGTGGGCGACTGGGCCACTCAGACCCCTGCCCCACAAAGCTCGGTTTCCATCTTTATCCTGGGGGTACGTGAGGGACTGCGGGGGTCTGCGGGGCTGGGCGCAGGCTCCTTCTGGGTGAAAGAGAGGAGGGAGGCACGTGGGTGTCCAGCAACTCGTGCCTGGCCTGGAGGGTGGGGCGCCCCTCCCCAGCTGCCCTCCCCTTCTCCCTGGCCTCCTCGGGGTCCACACCAGCCCAGAGATCAAGTTGGTCCCTTACCCGCTAGGTTTCTGGGGGCCAGTATCCTGGTTTCCAGGCCTCATCTCAGGAGCCCTCCTGACCTGACACGGTGCCTCCTCTCCCTGGGTCACGGGGCCCTCCCTCCTGCCCGTTCCTATTCCCTCTGCTCCAGCACCCGGCCCTTCCCCGTCAGGGCCCTGCCTGGGTGTTATCCCCAGCAAGCGGGAGAGGCCCCTGCTAGACCCTCCTCCTTGGCGGGGGCGGGGGGCGGGTTCCTATGCCTCAGTTTCCCTGTCTGTAATACACTCTTCACAATGCCGGGGGCTCAGTTTCCCTCAGTGGCCTTTCCCACTCTCTGGTTGCCTCTGGGTACTGAGGGGACCTGGGGACCTTGCTGGGGCCCCAGTCTGGGGCTGCACCATAGTCAACCCACTGGGCTATTCTGAAGGCTGCTGGCCAGTAGGCCTGCGTCCCAAGGGCCCGCAGCCTCAGGCCAAGCAGCGCCACCACCGCCACAGGGCAACGTTATTTTTGACGGACAGTGAAGCTGAGAGTTGCCGCCACCCCAGAACCCACCAGAGACTCTGCGCCTTCCCGCTAAATGTCACACGGCGCTTACAGGACGTGACATTTAGAAAATCACCATTTGCAGCCGAGCTTAAAAGCTGTAATGAGGATTAACCAACATCACAGCGTAAATAACGCTGCAGCCCAGCCTACTATGGAGACCTGGGGTAGCCTGGAGGGTAGTGGGGTCTTGTGCCAGCGGTCTGTGCTGGGGGCCTGGGCAGCTCACCATGAGGCCCCTCTCCCAGAACAGCCTCGGGAGAGCCTTATGGGGCTTTACTGCCAGGCCAGGGGCTTTTGGCTATGACTGTCCCATTGTTGGAGGTGCCCAGATCCAGTCCCAGCTCTGGCACTTCAGCTGTGTGACCTGGGGCAAGTTCCTAAACCTCTCTGAGCTCAGTCCCTCATCTGGTGGTTACTGGTGTCATTCAGAGTTAATTAGGGTTAAGAGTGTAGCTGTGGGAGGCTGGGGTCAAGGTGTGCCTGCCCCTTACCAGCTGCTGTGTGGCCCTTGGTTTCCTCCTGTGTAAGATGGGTGCAGTCACCCCTGCCGAGGGCCCAGCACAGTGGCTGCACCAGGCAGGTGCTCCGCAGATTTGGCCCAGGTCTCATCTTCCACGCACACACCCTTCCCTGGGCCAGGAGTGTGTCCTGGGGCGGCCACTATCTCCCCTGCACCAGAGCGGCGGCCCGAACAAATGGGCCCATGGCTTTGCCTCTGGTGCTTTGGAAAAGATGGTTCTGGAGCAAAACGCCTCTGAATGAAAACCCAGTACTCAGGTTAGCGGTGTGTGTGAGTCATTGCCCCCCGCACCCCTCCCCCCCAGGCCTGACTCACAGGAGACTCCCTGGAGGGATGTGGATGAGGACCTGGTCCATTTACTCCTCCTGGGACCTTTGGTTGCCTACAGCTCACTCAGTGCAGCTTGGGTGGTATTTTGGATTTGGTTTTGTTTTCTGGAGCATTAAATATATTTTTTCAAGCAATGAAGTAGATTAATGCCTGTTGAGACTGTGGCGGGGGAGGGTGGTCTATTCAAGAATGTCCGGCTGTTTCCTTGCTGCACTGAGATTTGCCAGTTCCCAGGGGCAGGGCAGCTGGGATTACCCCCCAAGTATCAGGTACCCCCATTCTGGGCTAAGCTGGGGCTGGGGGCAGAGAGAGTCCATGGCAGTCCACTCTGGCAAGGAGCTTCCCCTTGAGGCTGTGGGAGGAGATGGGCATGTGGCTAGAAAATGCCAGAAAAAGTGTGATTGGGAGAAGCCTTGAAGATGCGGTCTGGGCATCCTTTTCGCAAAGTCCTCCAGGACCTTTGCTCTGGGCCTCCACCCTCAGGGAGGTCAGTGCTGAGTGGGGACAGACAGGTGGCCACTGAGGGCCATTCGGGGCTGGAGCACACGGGAACGCCGCACCCTCTGTTCCAGAGGTATTGTTTGTTCGGCAGCCTGACCACCCACCCCGTGCCAGGTGCCAGCTAGCGCTGGGGACAGGACAGGGGCACTGCCCCATGGTCACCTCCCTTGTGGCCCGTCACCCAAGCCTGTCTGTCTTCCCCACTGCAGTACTTTAAGAAGCAGAAGCGGCTCATCCCCGAGAGGACAGTTTGGAAGTACTTTGCACAGCTATGCAGCGCCGTGGAGCACATGCACTCTCGCCGGGTGATGCACCGAGGTATGCGCCCGCCAGAGCCAGCAGGGGGCTGGGCACCCCTGGGGCCCAGAAGGCAGCGTTCCCTGCTCTGGGGAGAATGCTTTGGGGACATCCGTGAGGAAGTCGGACCATTTTGTACTCCCCAGACAGGTGGGTGTCGAGCATCTTGCCGGGGCAGTCCAAGAGTCCAGCCCAGGGCCTCACCCGTGCCCATTCTCTGATCTCCCGAGGACACGCAAGATGCTCAACGCTGTGGGTCCTGCCCTCCCCTCCCCCCACTTCCCACCCTCATGCCAGCTGCCTTCTCCTTCCTTTGTAGACATCAAGCCTGCCAACGTGTTCATCACGGCCACGGGCGTCGTGAAGCTTGGTGACCTTGGCCTGGGCCGCTTCTTCAGCTCTGAGACCACTGCAGCCCACTCCCTAGGTAAGGAGGCCCGTGCACACATCCTGGCAGTGGCTGCTGGTCCTGGGCGACCCTGTGTGGGCGACCCTGTGAGTGGTGCGAATGTTCACCCCACGGGGCCTTTGGTCCATGAATGCAGGAAAATGCCTACCCGAGCCCCAATCTCTATTAGCCTCTTCACCACAGTGACCCAGAGCGCGGTAAACCGAGAGGCCTTGGAGGGGGCTCCCCTGCACCTCACGCTGCCTCACGCCCCTTCCAGGAAAGGATGGCGGAGCCTGTTTGATGCAGCTCTGTGGTCGTACAGGGTGGCCGTCCCGTCTTTCTCGTCGCCGTGTCGTGTTCCGGCGCATGGGTGGACTGCTCAGTCCAGTCCTCCTGGGAGGAGGGGAAGGACACTGGGGCTCTTTCAGGTTTTGGCTCTTACACAGCAGTTTTGAAGCTGCAGAGTCCAGATTCCCAGGTTCTCACCCAGCAGGAGGTGACATTGTAACTGGATGTGAAGGGTGAAGGGGAGCTGGTGGGGCAAGGAGCGGGGGACGGGTGAGCCAGAGAGTGGGGTGCGCGGGGGTGCCTAAGTGTCAAGCTTGGTGGGCCATGGGGAGCACCTGAGGGCTGGACTCGGGGATACACCTGGGCCTGTGAGGGTTTCGGGTTCCATGAAGCGATGCCCAGTTCAGCATCCATATACTGGGTGTGTGACTGGGTATGAAATGTTGGAGGATGAGCAGTTTTTATTTGATTAGAACATTAGACCTCTCTGCTTTAAGAAACCAGAGGAGTCCCCAGTGGAACATAGATGCGGGGTCCCCTGTGCGTTACAGCAGGGCATATCAGCATTTGACCAGGGCTGGGTGGAAGGATCCAGAGCTGCTCCCACAGAGCCCGTCCCTGCCTCCTGGAGGTGGCGTTTGCCGGAGAAGGCGCCCCAGAGGCTTACCCACCCGTGTGAAGGCTGACCGCCCCCCGCCCCCCTGGAGACCACTGTTCTCCGTGGTCTCTGCCCCCGTTCGCGGCCCCAGCCCGTGTGTCCCCCACCCTCTCCCTGAGTGCCTGCGGCATGCCGTGAGTACAGACAGCAGCTTCTGGTGACGGCGAGGTGCTCTCTGGAAAACACACGTTCCTGGTGGAAACTGTCACTATTCATATAGGTCCCAACTGCTTAGAGGCTCTTGGGGTGAAGCACACAATCAGGAGAAATGCACGAATTGGAGATCGGCAGCTCTGAGCTGGTCCTAGAGTGAGAGAGTGTGTGTATACGTGTCTGAGTGTGAGCGCGTGTGTCTGTGTGGGAGTAAGTGTGCACATGCGAGCGTGAGCGTGTCTGAATGTGGGGGGGGGGTGGGGTTTAAAAGGACATCCTCTGCGTTTATGACACTTTACTCACACCTCCAGTAGCTGTGAGGGTCCGTAGGCTCCTTCCTTTGTGCGAACGAGGGATCTGGAACCCAGGAGCCTGAGGGATCCTCCTGAGTCACATAGCGGCAGAACCAGGACTCGAACACCTGCCTCTCCTGCGGAGCCCGCACTTCCTCCAGAAGAGCAAGGCTGGGCCATGGGAGGTGTGCTGGCTCTTTCTCCAGCGCCCCCCCCTTGCCCGCCTGCCATGCCCAGAGGCAGCCGTGTCTTCCCTGGTCCCCTCACACCCTTTCTTAGGAAAGTCAGTGCTTGGGTGAGTTTGGGACTGTTTACCTCTCTGCTTTAAGAGCTTCAAAAGCCAGACATTCAAGGGCAACTGTCAAAGAGAAGAGTTAAAGCCGCTGCCTCTGTCCCCTGTCAGTCAGGTCCCTCCTCTTGGTCCCTCCACCAAGGAGACTGTGCGCTCGTCAGAGCCGGTTAAGATCACATCATTAGGAATGGGCAGAAATACGGGCTTGTCCGACAGGGTGAGTGTATCGACTCGGACTGGTGCACTTATTATATTAATGAGAAGAAATTGGAACTGGGGAAAAGGCTGCTCGCTAGGCCGGGCTCTTTTCGAAGCCTCCGAGCCGCGACCGGGCCAAGTGGTGGGTGGGAGGAGCCCTCCTGGGGTCCTGTGCCTGTGTGTCCAGGGGACGCCAAAGTCCTGCCCCCAGGAAGACTCTCGGAACCAAGGCCGGGACTCCACCACAGGACAGCACAGAGCTAAACCCAGGGCCCGAAGTCCCCCCGACATTGGAGAAAGGGCCCCTTGCCAGTGAGGGTCTGCAAACAGCTAAGTCTCCTGCACACACTTGGTAGGGCAAGAGATTGGACTAATTGCCATCGCGTTGTGACTCGGAGAGGACTCGGGGTCAGGACTTCTTCACACCCGGCGCGTGGGCATGAATTATGTATCCACCATCCCTGCGCACCTACTACGTGGGGATGCCCCGTTGCCCTGACAACCACCTCCTCTTCTGAGGCTGCTGACCCCCTGGCAAGGCTTATGCAAATCCCATCCCCTCCTGCCTCTCCCTCCCGCAGGCCCCTCCCCGCCTCTGTATTTGCTAACACGAGGCTGGCATGAAAGGGCATTAGTCATGCCATGGCCAGGCTGACAGGTGCGGTACCCAGCGGTGGCAGAGCGGCTGCCTCGGTGTCAGGAATAGGAGCCGTAATTAGAGTGCGGAACAGAATGAGCGTCAGACGAATTACCAGGCAGCAGATCATATTTGTCAGGAAGGATTGCATACATAAAAATTAAGTGACAGTACACGCCGGCGTAATGAAAGAAAAATGAAAGATTTGCCTATACACAGCTCACAAGCTACAAGCAAGTGTCTCGCTCCGAGCAACGGCAGCAGCTGCAAGACAAATTGTAGGGCTGGGAGAGCAGGCCCTGCTTGTTCGGCAGCAGTGACAGGGCGGCCGCAGGCTGGAATTGGGGGTGGGCGGGGAGGCAGCCTGTGCCCCAGGCCCATTCCGGGCCTCACGCCACCCTCTCCGGGTCCGGGAAACCGGTCCGACCGGGGGCAGCCCCCGCAGGTCCAGCGGTCAGGGCACGCTGGCTTTCCCAGGCTGTCAAACGCTGGCCTGACCACAGGGCGTAACTTACTTCCTTCTCCCTTCCCCCGGCCGACCGCCCTGGCCCAGGCCTGGGTGCTGGGGACCAGATTCTGCAGCTTTCTCTCTTCTCAGGAGGCCCCCAGACGCAGCCAGTCCCAGGGGGCGTGGCAAGGGGGCAGGCGGAAGCGGCTCCTGAGGGCCCCTGTCTCTAACTGGGCCCTGACCAACCCCAGGATCCACTGGGGGCCGGGGGCTGCAGCAGATCCTCCCAGGGCTGCCCATTACTGACCTCATCAGAGGCGTGAGTTAACGAAGACAAGGCTCAAAAGATGTTTGAAACATGTTTTGCTTTTTAAAAAGTCATCCCAACGAGGTTTAGTATCTCCACTTGACAGATGAGGAAACTGAGGCACAGAGGGAGGGGGGGGGTGCTACCACATCCCTGTAGTCACCTGGCCCTCAGGGACTAGAGCTCCTCTCCAGGCACATCCACAGCATCCTGGGAAGTGGGTGTGAGTCCTGATGAGCTCTCTGGGTGCCCAGCCACTGACGGGAGAAGCACGTCTGCCCTCCCAGAGGGGCTGCCGGGACCTGGAGGCTTGTTCTGGGCTGCAGGGAGGGAGGATGGGCCTCCTGTCCTTGCCACCCGGGCAGTCCTGTGAGCGCACTCACGCTTGGCACCGGGTGGGCCCCGGGGAACATCTGCTCAGTGGGTGCAGGGACCTCACAGCCAAGCATCCCTGGGGACCCCACAGCGGGGGCACAGAGCACGGTGCAGGTGCGTTCCCTGGGCCGCCTCCTGCCCATCCCGGCAGGCCAGACGCTTGGGAATAAGTGGTTCAGACAACCTGCTTCAGCAGGCACATCCGGTTCCTGAAGCCGGCACATCCGGTTTGTGAGCGCTGACCTGGGGGAGGTCCTGGGAGATCACACCCGGCCACCTGGCTTGTCCGCCACACCCTGACGTTTCTCAGGGCACACACTGTTCCTAGATGAGCTGACGCCCCAGAGGGAAGGAGAGGGTCTCATGAGGTCCGCACAGGAAGAGCCCTGACTGGGAGGTGACCTGCAGCTCGCCTGTTTGTGGGCTTTGTCTGTGCCCAGCCGCTCACCAGGAACGCATTAAGGGCCATCGTGCTGCAGCCTCCCTGGGGGTGGGGCCGTCCCAGCCGGTTAACAGAGGAGGAAGCCCAGGTGCCGCCAGGTGAGCACGTTTGCAGTGCACTGCGGGGTGCTCCCGCCAGAGCCTGAGGCACGGCCGAAACCCCCCCGCCCCCCCCCCAGGCCGTCCTGGGTGAGCCCCTCACACCTGGAGAATGTAGGTGCTGCACAGAGCGCAGGGAGGTGCGCCCGGGTCTTCACATCTGCTAGAGGACCTCGGCGTGCGAACTCGAAACAGGCAGGTATTTGTATAGATGTCAACAATCTGTAATTAAGTCAGCACGGGGAAGGGGCGCGGCTTCTCCTGAAGGCTGCGTGTGGCCCAGCATAGGGCTGGCTGCTGGTTTAAGGACGCGACAACCCGCGGTGACACAGGTGACTCTGGTAGGGTGTGTGTGTCCATGTCCATGTCTGAAGGTCCATTGTTGAAGGGGAGCAGGGACAGTCTGGAGAGGCCTTGAATGCCAGGCTGAGGACCTGGCCTTTCTCCCTTGAGGGAGGAGAAGCTAGTCGGGCATGGGGGTGCTTCCCCGCCCCCACTCCCCCATCCCCCCCCACTCCCCCATCCCCCCACCCCCGCCTTGGGGCAGAGGAAGGGTGGGAATGCGCAGGACAGGCAGAGCTAACCCAGTCCTTGGGTGGAGGGGAGGGGAGCACCCTCAGGAAATGGAGGCCTGGTTTGATGTTGCGGGTGGGGAGGGAGTTTCACAGGTCACAGTGAGATGGAAATTTGGTTCACAGGGGCCCAGCCCAGAGGAGCCAGCCACCACTTGGGCTCCGGAATCTGGTCTTCCCTCCCTCCTTTGTTCTTCCCCCACTTGCTCGCTTGCTGGCTCTATCGCTTTGCCCGCTCCCCAGGCCTCCTGGCTGCAGTCTACCTCTCCCTCCTG